TTTAGACTTGAATCTAGGTCAGTAATCAGATTAACATTATGCCATTACACCGTTATCATCAGCGCTTTTTTTTTCTGATTGTTATTTTTAATAATAATTATTTTCCTAATTACCATATTTTTTTCCTAAAATTTTTTTTGTTCTTTCAAGTAATATAATCAAATAAATGATTTTTTTTATTTGAAAAAACATGTTTGCATAATTCTTTAGTTAGGATAAGTATATTTTTATTATTTAGTAAAAATAAAATTAGTTAAATTGAAAATTAATAAATTATAATTTTTAAATTATATAGATGGTTTTTTTATCTAAATGATTAGTATAATAATTTTTTTAATATTGTTATTTCTTTTATTTCTTTTATTAATAACAAGTTATACTACAATAAAAGCATTCAAGAAAAAAATAAAAAATTATTTTTATCCAAAAAAACCTTAACCAATTAATAATCAATTAACTAAGTGCTCTAATAAATACCTAATCACGAAAATTTTACGTGAATTAAATCAAATGGCAGCTCCCCTGCTCCCCTGCTAATAAGTCAATTTCTTGTTTAAGTGTATAAAATTTTTTAAGTATTTTATTTACTGCGGTCCGGAATGACCTTAAAAATTGGGATTGAGATTATGGTCACTATGGGGATCAATTATGGTCCGTAATAACGTAAAACTATTCTTATTATTCTTATTGGTTACTTATTTGATATTATTTATTATAAAACTCGGGAACTGCTATAATTTTTATCAAATTTAATAAAGGTTTATTTTGTAGCTAGTGGTAGCAAACGTCTTAACGATGGGCACTAGCTCTACAGTCTACAGTATGACTGACAGTCTGGACCAGAACGATTTATATTGTTTATCTAATAAAAAAATTGCCAAATTTTATCTATGTTTATCTACATATATTTTTCAATAATTAACGAAACTTTAATAAAAAAAAATTTTTTTTTTTTTGTAATTTCGCTATCATGTAACTTACATATTATATATATTACTTTAAATTACTATTTACGCAACTACCATAACAAAGTCCTTTGGTCTAGTAAAAATTAAAATTACAAAAATGTTAAAACCAATCATTTTTTTATTTTTTATTTTATTATCATTGTTTTATTGTTACTCCATTAGCTTAGTATAACTTGGAATGATTGACGATGCTTGTGTTTTGAAATGATATTAATATCATCATTTTTCATTTTTTTTAAAGACGCACTTAAGAATACAATACATGAAATAAATTTAAAGTTTTTCTCATTTGAAAAATGCAAATCTTTCTGAATTACTCAAATTTTCAAATCCGTCTATTATAGTATAATCAATAGTCATAAATACATATAGAATTTGCCACCCGGTAGGTATAACTACATTGTGTAAATGATGCCGATCAGGAGGGAATGATTTATATATTTACTGATAATGCTTTTTATGTTTCCAATTTTTCTTTTATTATTTTTTTTTTTTATAAATGTCAGGTTCTCTAAATTTCTTTATCATAAGTATGTGATACATCATTATTTATCGTTACACAAAGAAACCTTTAACAAGGACTCTTATAACCTAAAATTAGAAATCGATTTGCTTTCTTTCAAAATAAAAAATACTATTCTAAAACAAGATAAAAATCAAACACAACAAAATAGATTGACAAAATTTTTATTTTCTTTATTTTCCTTTTTAAACAAAAAACGATAAAAAAAATACTAAAACAAGCTCAACCAATCACTCATCTAAAAAAAACAAAGCTCGACTAAATTAGTTGTCGTTATATTAAAGATTAAAGAATGTTTGAAAAGTTTTATTCCAATTATTTATAGATAAAATACATTGTTTGTATTTAATTTGGGAGAATTCTTTATTAAAATTAATTTCGGTTTGGGTAAATAAATTCGTTTTGTTGATCATTTAAGGAATATAGGCCCAATTGAAAAAAATCAATATATAAATGGCTTCTCAATTGTTAAGAACTACACTAATTCAGAAAATCAAAATTTTTTTAAAAAATAATTTTTCAATAAAAGAAATTTTAAATATTCAACACAAAATATCCAAACACTATAAAAATGAATTCACGTCAAATCTTCTTTGCTCTCTTGATTGTGCTTATGGCTACTATCGTAACAGCCTCTACTTTGAATTTAAATCAATTAACTAAGAGGTAATACATACAAATACAATATTTATACTTTTTAATGAAATTTATTAATTTATTAATTTAATCATTAAAGAAGAAATGCTCAAAAAGACAAAAGTCCATCGAAAGAAAAAAACGGTGAAGTCAAGATTGCCCTTGGCCAACCTGACCGAGATGGTGGTATCTAAGCTATTAATTTTGCATATTAGAATCTTTTTATTAGGCATTATTTATTCTCATTATTTCACCTATTTAACATCATTTCAAAGCATAGCATTAATAGTTAGACGTACCATTATAAAGAATGTGTTAATATAGATTATTTTAACAACATAAAAAACACAAAAAAAAAATCATTCCTCTTCAATTTCATTTTTTTTTTCATTTCTTTTCTTTTAGAAATCATAAGTTTTTGAAAAACTTCGATATTGTTTTCTTCAATATTTGTACCAATTTCTTTTTTAAAAAGAATTAAATAGAAATGTGCTTTATAAAATATCTTTTATCTTCCATAACTGGATAAGGATATTGTCATTTCGAAATTTAGTAATACCAAGTTTGGTATGCAGTTTCGTGTAAATTTTAAATAATATATAATTGGACTAACCGTTTAATCATAGTTGACTCTACGCGGAATTACATCGCTAGTATCTGCTATATAGGTAGTATTATCTGGGTGTTACGGAAAAGTATTGGTATCCTACTCAAAGTGATAAATAAAAAACTTGCCAAATTATACACCACTTGCTCTTTTTTGTCTTACCCGAGTTATCTAACTACAGTTAAGAATTAAAAATAATTAAGATTAACTTTAAAAAAATATTTTGAAACTCATCATTGCTATAACTACTACTATTTATATTGTATGTTCGGTATTATATATTTTTTACTCATTTGATAGTTCATTGGTGAGGATGTAATAATAGCAGTATAAATTGTAATTAACATGACCCAAAGAAATTACATTGATGATTCCACGTCTGCACTTTGTACTTTATATAAAATGTGTGTTTTGTTAACAAAAAAAAAAAGAAATATTTTTATATATAATAATTTTTTCTTACAAAACAAAAAATAACTTAGTATTTGATGTTTAGTACTTCTCTTTCATATACTTCTTTGTTCATTCATTTGATTCAATGCTGACAAATAGGCACTTCATTGCCAGCTCTTTCACCAAAATGAGGTACGGTAAATACGGTAAATAGTTCTTCGGCTATTAGTATTATATCATTATACAGTAGTTATTTAATTTAATTTTACTCACCTTAGGAACTGAACGACTTATACTCTATTTAATCTTTTTTAATAATTACCTAGATTATATTTTATATTTATTCTTGAGCTGCAGAAAAAAAAATTTATTGTATAACTAGGTAACGGTGACCGTTAAACGTCCGAAGCGGGCGTCACGCTGCACAAAGTGAAATCTTATTAGTGTTATATTTTGCAACGATTTGTAGACATTAAAATTACAAATTATTTAATTTCGGTATTTGATTTATAATTATGTTAATAAAGATAGACTATTTGTAATAATAAATAAAGTTTCGTTAAGATTTAATCATTGAAATTTAATCGCTTTTCTTCAGACAATCTCTCTTGTAACCTCTTACATTTTTTAATGCGTTGTAGTCATTCAAACGAAAATGGCTTAAAAAGTACATCATTAAGAGCACGGTCCCTAGAAATTGCCACAATTTTCATTAAGATTTTAATAACGAAAATAAATTACACAAGATATCGTTTTTTCGTTTATTATTAATGAATCTTAAAAAAAACAACTAAATTTATTATATAATTAAACTAACGTTTAATAAGTCTAATTCTAAGCTAATAGTATCGAAATTATTAAGCTAATAGTATAAACTTAAATGAAGTACAATGCATTGTTATATATTGTCACGTGTATATAATTCACGTGTGGGACAGACCATTGCATAACCACCCTAGCGTCACCTCCAAAAAATGGTAGCCGGATTCTAATTTGCCGGTTGCACATGATTTCGGATACTAATTTTTGGTAATCTCATGAGTATTTAATAATTTTCAAATTTATTTTTTTAAACACATTATTACACATATTTCAAATTGCCAGAATTTTATTAAAGCATAACATACATATATATTTATTTATTTCAAACATGTTTCTGAAATTTAATACTACTATTCCCAATATCTTGTATTCTTATTAAAATCTTTCCAAGTTCTCGGCATAGTTCTACGATTTTCAAGTGCTACAATATCATTATTCATTTTTTCCAATGAATTAAAATTAGAACGAACATTTTTTAACCATAAATGCCGTTTTGGCTTGTTACGTGACTCTTCTAATAATTCTTTGGTCTAAGAATTAATATTTACATCAATAAAAATTAAAAATTACTTAGTTATATGCAATATTCATGTATACCTTATTTAGTATTTCTTGCAAATAATTTAAATCAGTTTCATACATATGCTGTTTATCGTCACTTTCAATAATATAATTATCTTCATTTTCAGTATCTTGAGTTATTGGAATGTTTAGAATTGTATGATCTGGTGTATTCTCTAAGCAAAATACATTTACCAATTTACCTTCATAGGAGGAAATTAATGGATAATTTCCATTTCTCTGTACCTTTAAATAAATAATAAATATTAGATATAGTACTGTATAAATATAAAAAAAGCAAACCACTTACTTTTTTAAAAAATATTCCATCAACTTTCTCAACAGAATTAACTAAATGTTTACACAAAAAAAACCGGCTTTTTATATATGCAGGACATGAACATATCCACTTAGCTGTATCTGTTAAATATTTGCCATTTAATTGAGTAGGTTTTTTTTCATATTGTTTCCATTCCTTTTTGAAATCTTTTCACCATGGTACAGAATAACGTCCTTGCTGTAGTAATTGAATTCGATATAACTGCTGGTTAATGACTTTTTTAACAAGAATAAAACATAAATGATCAACTCGTGGCTTATGAAACTTGTATAAATGATCATGCTTAATATGCCGCCAATGAGATTCAACAACCATTGTTGTTTTAATATGACTAACATTTTTGTTAGCTGCCCGCGCCCATAAAATCCATTTGCCTTTAGAATACCACTCCTTCCAAAAATAAATCCACAATCGAAGCAAATCATTGTTCTTACAAAATTGTATCATTTCTCCTACACATTCTTTCCAAATTTCATCTGCATTTGTAGTAAAAGTACCATCAAGCTTTGGTAATAGCATATGACGATTAGAATGATCTTTTATAAGATTAATTACAGTTTCTCGTAAATTTAAAGGGCAAAATGATCCAGAATTTGAATTATTTACAATTCCCCAGTTAGGATCTATTGTTGAACACTCTTCATGTGCAATCTTTGGATTATAAGAATGGTAAGAACTTGTTTTATTGGATGATAAACGTTGTTTAATAGCATGTTGAATATGCCAAACACACAATTGCAAGTGAGCTTCAGGCCATACTGTTTGTGCTGCATTGATTTCTGCAAAATCTTTATCAGTTAAAATGTAAGGAATATCTTTTAAATTTCATTCTTTTAAAGCTTGCATCCACTGTATAAGAACTCCAGTTATATTTCGATTTTTTCCAGTTGAAATTAGAAGATAGCTAAGAGGAAACCCAGTACCATCAATTACTCCCATAATAGCATATAGTTCCCATGCCAAATTATTGGTATTGTATGTTGCATCAATCTCAATTGCATCAAATTTATTATAAAGTAATTGGTAAAATAATACTGTTAAAAATCCTAGAGCAGGCATAGAAGTATTGAGATTATCTAATATAATTTCTTGATTAAATTCTTCTAATAAATATTTTGTTGACAATAAATGATCAGGATCACGACAGTATGTTTTATGAGATTCAATGGACCACCAATAATAGGTTTGTTGAACTGTTATATTCTCATATCCATTAATATGATTTTCTTGAATCTGGTGAAAAATTTCAGAAACGGAACAATTAAGATTATCTTGGATAAAGTTCTTAATTTCAAGTGTTGTCTTAACATGCCTTGGTCGGGAATGTAACATTTTGTGAGAATATTCAACATTAATTAAATTCAAGTTTGAAAATATTTCTATATTAATTATTCCTTCACAATGATAGCGTTCTAAATATGCAGGTGTATCTCTTTGTTTGTCTAAATCAGGATGTTTTGCTCTTCGTTTTCCAAGTTCAATTCGGCAATTACAGTAGTATATTATATGAAAAGAATTTTCTTTTTGAATTTTCTTATAATAAACCCATGAATAGCCATCACCTTCTGAAATAGAATTTATTATACGATGACCAATTTCATGTTCAATGTTTTCTTTATCAGATTCATTGTTTTCTAAAATAGCATCATGAAAAGATGATAATTCCACTGGTCAGAATAGTCCATTTCGTCCAGATTTCAAATTGACGAATGTTGGACGAAAGTTGATCTAACTTTGGCTGATCGTTGCCAAAAAAATCGTCAAAATTATTATGGACGATTTGCACAGTTCGCCTGCCACTTGGCAATCACAAATCAGCAAAAATTCGTTATTATCGGCAAAAATTCGTTATTATTGGCAAAATTCGGAAACAAAACTATTCGTCAAACTTTTAGTTATAAAATGTACACAAATCGATCTCGAAACACATTTACGAAAGATTACCAATTTATTTCTTTTGAAATGCCGGATTTAGTTTATTCATAATAATAATAACCGATTTTATTCAATAATAAATCAAAACAATTAATTATATATTTATTTTAATAAAATTTATTAAATTTATTACCAAAAAGCAGTCAATAATAAGAAATTAATATTTCGCAATAAATCTATTATAAAATGATAAAATTAATCAATCATTATGTTCGGTTTGAGTATTATCATCAGTTTGTGACTGCGATTCACAATTTTCAGCCGGAGTATCAGGACCAGAAAAATCCGTATCGACGGGCATATTTTGAGTTTTGTATGCCCATTCTGGAGCATTTTTAGGGTGTCGTGAGGTGATACAATAGCTTTCGTCATTATAGTTTCTCCTCCTCGTTAATTGCGCCGTCTGTAGAGAAAATACGTGAATATCCAAGACGTTTCAGAGAAAATTGATAAGCTGTAAAGTCATAAAGTCATTAAAACAAATAAAATTAGTTGATGTTTTTAATAAAATATGATAAAAAAAAGATTATTATACCTCATCGGAACGCCAACTAAGGTTATAAACGATAATTTTTCTTTTACTATCCGGTTGTTCTTTATCCGTTTCTGAGTCTTCAGGTGAATGGTAGCGAGTATCTTTCAGAATGTTTAGGACCTCTGTCTTATCATAATCCTTTACTTGATCGTCATTACGTTTAAAAAGGGAAATAGCACCCTTGACTCTACGCGATTTTTTCTGAAATATAACGAATGTTTAGTATCAATTTCGAAATGACAGTAAAAAGACAGATTCTACCTCGCTCAATCTGTTGTTTTTATGCAGTCTTCTGTTATCTTTATCAATTACACCTCGCTCAACATATAAAAGTCATGCTCTACGATGCTTGTGTAAGGCAGCTAACCAATCGTTTATCTGCTTATACGAAGGACTAAATCGAGGCTTCATGGAAGCAATCAATCGTGGTATTAATTGTCGTAAAATGTCCGCGTTCGTCTCGTTTGTAAATTTTTCGTCGTATCTTAACGTTAATTCGGGAGGCATCGTTTTTAATATTACCTTCATTTCAGTCTATAATAATTTATAAAGATTCGTAAGAAGGATATTCAAATCGTGTAAAATGCAAAATCTGTCGATCTCTAACGAACTCTAGCATTTTCTTCGTCAGTTTCAGAATCGTCGTCTGATTGATCAATTTGACGTCTCGCGACTTTTCTTTTTTTGCCAGGTCTATTATCGTTGTCGTTACTTTCACTTTCCGACGATTCGACATCGGCATCATCTTGGCTCGATATTTGTGATTTGAGATTATTAATCTCGGCTCGAAGAACTTCATTTTCGTGATTGATATACTTATTATGGGAATGTAATTTGATATAATCTTGCCGAAGTTCATTTAATTCACCTTTAATTTCTTTTAACTCTCTATAGACCTCGCACATTCTGCCTTGTAAATAAGCATGCTCGTCACGGAGCCGACTATGTTCTAAATAACGTAAAATATTTGATAAAAATTCGTTAAGTACATTAAAATGTGTCACAGTTCATTACCTCTCTTCAACTTTTCATAATCACTATTATTGTATCTATACGCCAATGATTCTGATGGTTCAACGGAACTCGAAGAAAAATCATATGGTAAAAACTCTCGTGATAAGGAATCCCTGTGCGGCATTTGAGCTGAAGACAATTTTCGTGGTTTAATAGTTCTGGTATGTTCAAAAGAACTTTTTGGAAAATGCGCACTGGCCATTTCTTTATCGGTATGGGATTCTTCCAGATCTTGACTTGTTTTTGACTTTTGACAAGATTCCATTAGAACTTGACTTATATCAAGGACAAATGGATCTCGATAATTTTTTTGGTAAACTTGGCCAGTAGCAGGAGTAGTTGACGTTTTTTCACGAGCCACTTCGACGATTTCTACTTCATCGGACAGTTCGTCTCTATTTGCTGCGGATTTTTCGTATTGATTCGTTTCTGTATTAATAAATTTTTTTGATATAGTAAGTACACCTTTGAATAACGGAACGGAATAACGCAAAACAATCAATATATCGACTTTTTTTGGGGGTAGAAGTTTGTCCGGTATTAGGAGTAGTTGAAGCTTGTCCACGATCCACTTCGACGATTTCTTCATCAGGTGTTTTATTTTTTGCTGCGGATTTTTCGTATTGATTCGTTTCTGTATTAATTAATTTTTTTGGTATAGTAAGTATAAATGATACACCTTTGAATAACGGAACGGAATAACGTAAAACAATCAATATATCAACTTTTTTTGGGGGTAGAAGTTTGTCCGGTATTAGGAGTAGTTGAAGTTTGTCCGGTATTAGGAGTAGTTGAAGTTTGTCCGGTACTAGGAGTAGTTGAAGTTTGTCTGGTACTAGGAGTAGTTGAAGTTTGTCCGGTATTAGGAGTAGTTGAAGTTTGTCCGGTACTAGGAGTAGTTGAAGTTTGTCCGGTACTAGGAGTAGTTGAAGTTCGGTCCTGGTTCACTTTCTTAGATGCTTTGTGAAGTTTTCTTTTATTTGACGATTTTTTCTTGTTTCGGCTCATTTCTATATATCAATAAATTTTCTTACGGTTAAAATAGGAAATTGCAAATCAAAAGTAATTATATATCATATGGTCGAAAGTTACAAATTACCAGTTATTATGAAAATGAAATAAAATTATCTTAAATTTCAATGAGATGAGAAGAAAAGAGAAAGAGAACGTACGAGTTAATGATCAGACGAGTTTTTATAGAATTTATAAGTTTATTATTAAGCTTTTGACAAACTTTCACAAGCTGATTTGATAAATAAAAGTTTATTTATCGTGTCTTCCGAACCGAAATGATCATCGATTTTAATTTTTCAACAAAAATGATTTATCAAGTACAATATACTTTGCAAATTTTAACCGATTTAATTTATCGAATTGATATCAAAATATTCGATTTAGTACGACCGCAGTTAAATTAATTAATTAATCGAATTGACGTTAAATTTTTACAAATTGTAGTAAAGTTTTAAACGATTATTTGATTTATTGAAGCGATTAACTTCAAAACTCGTCAATTGAAAATGACAAGAAGGAGATCGGTTTCAAGCATTCTTGGCAATCAAAAAAAAAATGAACGTAGACTTTCGTTCCAAAAACCTCGCAAAAGGAAGAAAGTTCCTTGTTATTGCAATAATTGTAATGGAAAATTGGTATTGGAACGAACAAAGCTTCTACACGAGACAGGAGGTAAAACGAATGATTCGAATGAAGACGAATCAAGTGAGGACGAATCTCTTTCGATAATTCAAGAAACTAGTGAACAAGACATTACCGAAAATATTGAATTACCTCAAGTAAATGTTGACGTTCATCAGACTTTGACATCAGGGTCAGATTTCGGGGATACACCGAAAGTCAAAGGTTACAAATACCCAGGAACATAGATGTTAATTGTTCTTTTTTACCTCGGAGGCGCGTAAGATATACAAGCCATCCTATGCCTCAATCAACAAGTTTGAATATCGAATCGGACGTATATAATACTAGCGAACAAAACACTGAAATGTCTTTGGGTAGCGAATCAAATAATGAATCTTACAACAAAATTTTTGAAGATTATTCACCTCCTCCGTATCAAGCCAACATGGATGCCGAAGAAAATCCGATCGATGATAAA